CTTGCTCCTTAGTCCTTTCTCTCTCCCTCCCTTTCGTTCTCGCGTGTCTCTTGCTGTTCTCTTGCTGTGTATGCGTCTGCCTGTACTGCTCCCTGTAGGCCTTCGATGATGCCTTGAATTCGCACTCTCGCAAACCTGTGGATGGGGTGGAGGTACGTGCCAGCCTGCCTGCTCATACCATTCTTGTTTTTCGCTACTGTTGCTGGAGCGTTTCAGGAGTAAGTTAACGGTTACAACAGATCCGGTGCATGCCCCTGACAGCAGTAGTGTAGTAGTCTACCCACCCATTATAACACACTCTTGTTTTTGACCCTGATAGCGCCCACAGGTGACGTGTGTCGCAAGGCATACGGCGGACCGCCGGTGCTTGATCCATCTTACGGCAGTAGTAAAGCTTGTTGACGAAACCCTATCCTAAACCTTTGCCTTTTCTTGTCGCGCACCCCTATAAATATATATACCATCGCCCCGCAAAAGGCTCGCAAGTGGAATAAGCACGCCGCGCAGGGGGTAGCCGTGCAACCCCACACGGCGGAGGGTAGACCGCAGCAGCAGCAGCAGCAGCAGCAGCAGCAGCCGTCAACGTCGTCCAGCACCTCGCGCGCTGCTGCTGCTGCGAGCGGCGGCGGCACCTCCCCGGCGGGAGCCGGATACCAACGCCCCCGGTCGGTGCCGAGCGGGCACCGAGACCAGGGTTTCCAAGAAGCCGACCGGCGTTTTGCGTCCCTGTTGGCCAAGGGCAATGTCAAGACCTCGTCCGGAGGGGGCACCGCGGGTGTCGTGCGGGCTGGTATCCCGGGACCCTGGGAGCCCGTGGCTGGTCCGACCGAGGGACAGCAGTACGGTCGGGCAGCAGGTCACCAAGATGACCTGGGGCAGCGGTGAGAACGCAGAATCCGGGTTGTCGGGTTGTTTGTATGTATGGTGTGCTTTGGGACGGACTCCCATGTTCCGATGCGACCAAGGAGTTCCACTGCTGTGACGGTGTACAGTGTACAGGTTCGTGCTCACGCGAGGCAACCATGGTGTTATCCTGGTTGGTAGCGACCAGACCAGGCCATGTGTTCGATGTCTTTTCCAGGCCGGAACGCTGCCACGATGGTCCACACAGATCCCGCTGTTTTGTTTTGTTTCGGCGCGTTCTGCCAGCTAGATATTTTTATTTGTCGAGTTGTTGTTGTTGCCGTCCTTGAGGTGATCCCTAATCCTACCATCTTGGTACTTTACATCGGTGTTCGTGAGCACTCCTCGTCCTGAACCCTCTGGTTGGCTCTCAATTCATCGGCGTGCGGATGAAATCATGAAATCGAACGCAGGACCGAGTACGCGAGGCCTGAGGCGTACGACCCCAACGCGCAGCAGGAAGAATATGGCGGTGAGGCACATAACTACTCCTATCCCTCACGAGCGGCGCCTCATCATCCACAACCGCCTCCTCACCCCCCGGGGGGCGCGGCAGGTGGCTTTGAAGAGGGGGGGCGTGGATTTCCCCTGCCACCGCCGCCGCCGCCGCCGCATCCTGGAGTCGGTCCCCACGCGGCAGCCTTTCAGGTGACCTAGCCACCGGCGATTCTTGCTCTTCATATGAAGACTTTTTAGAGTTTCTAACTACAGCCGGTCGCCCCTGTTGTCTGGTTGGTATCCTCGAACCCTTCGAGAGGTCAGGTCAGGGGTTCGAATCCCGGCGTAAGCGAGCTTTTCTTGCAAAGTGAGTTTTTCTCTCGCTTCCCTTCCTGGTCGATAGCGCTAGTTCGTGCGTACACAGAGGGAAGAGAGTGCTGAACTCTTGTCGCATTGAAAATCAAAGGCATCGTACCGCAGGAGGGGAGGGTAGAGAAGGGCTCTTCTGTGTGACCACGGCTTGGAGTGAACGGCACTAGAGCTGTGAGCGTTGATTTCAAGTAATAAAAAAAAGAAATTCTACGGTACGCATACCTGGTACGGACAGAATGAAGGAGTGCTTCTACCAGTTTTCTGTTGTGGAGTTTGTTCACGCTATCTCGATTTCGCTTGTTTTATGTGCCGTCTATTCTAGGCGCCAGCCTACGCCTTTCGATGTACATACGGCAGTATGCCTGACGCTCTCGCCGGGGTCGCGCATGACGCTATCTTTTTTCTGGATCTCTGCTCCCCCTGACCTCATGTGACTGAATACGCTTGTCGTGCTGGCGTCCCTTGTGAACGTGCGAACCTCGCCCACTCAGTCTTTGGACGGCATTCCCGACGATGATCTGGCGGACCTGCTGCTCGCTTGGTACTACAGGTACGCATACATATGCATGCAGCAGTACACCGCACATACCCTTTTTGTTGTACGGCATGAAGTCGATGATACACACACACGGGTGTGGAAAGCACTACTGTTGTAGATGCGCAACACCGGCGGGTTCGTTTGGAGGGGATCCCGCCAGGTCAGTCCCCGCTCCTCGGTCGAGCCCCCTTCTTTCGAAGAAAATGAGTTTCTGGTTGAAGGTCGAATCGCTTGTAGTTGGAAGAGGGAGATTTGAGATGACCTGTTTGAGCACCCTTTTCTTTCTGCGATCCTGCTGTTCAGCGGAGGGACTTGGCTCGAGCGACGTCCATAAGTGGGCCTGAAAAACGCTTCCTTTATTTTCTGCTCCAGATCAGATACACTCTTTTTTTTTTCTGGTCATGTTTGTTTGCTTCTCCGTTGCCGTGCTCATCACCTCAACTGCAAGAATTACTGCCCCGCGCCTCTCCCCGCGTCCTCACCGCCCTCCTCCCGTTGGCGCCTATTTCGCGTGCTTGCCGCAACAAACGCCACTTTCTTACAGCGGGTACTACACGGGCCGCTACCGTGCGATGCAAGAAGCGCGCCACCCGCGAAACTACCGGCGGCACCCTCCCGCGGGCGTGCCGCCGTCAGCACCGGGGTATGGGGGTGTGCCTCTACCCCCGACGCCCTCATCGGCGTACCACGGGGGGGGCGGCGGAGGAGGAGGTGAAGGGTGGGGTGGTGAGCGGCAGGGTTGGCACGAACAGCAACCACAGCAGCAGCAGCAGCAGCAGCAGCAGCAGCAGCACCAACAACAACAACACAGCAGTAGCAGCAGCACCCCTGCTGCTCCACCACCAAGTGCTCAACCTTCCACATCGGGGCGGGGGAGCGGCCGACGTGCGTTCTAGAGCCTCTCTTTTTCCCCAAACATGGATTGTTTGGCCGCGGGGGAAGGCGTATGCGTTGGGGGATGGGGCGGAAGGCGTACACGCCGTACTTCATGTAGGTATAGGCTTCTCAGCGGTGTAAGACTGGCGAGAGAGAATGAGTAAGAACACGAAAGCATGGCTTGCATGCTATTTGCTCTGTGTGGCATAAGACAGCACTGCAAACGAAAAGGGCCAGAATACCACTGCACTAAGTTGAACGATTATCCTAAGTTATTGACGCGAGCTTCACACACATTTTATGGCGATGGCCATTTCCCGTTCTGTAACGTTTCCGTGCGCGCTACGGTCGAAATACACCAGGTGTTGGTGGTGTTTGGTGGGTACTCCCGTCAACAAAGCACTTCGAAGTGTTACAGCAGTGGAGCACCGCTACAGTACCACGCACCAGCCAACACCTTAAGTCTATCTCGTGTGATTCCAATTACCCCCCATGCAATCCAGCGAAAGCCACGCCGCAAAACAGCAGTAGCCGAGTGGTGTAGCCGTAGCTGTGACAATGACTTCCTCCTTACTCCCTCGCTCGCTTCCGCCCTACAACACGCCGGGGATGATGCGGCTGTTCGCTGCTGTTAGCTTTCAACTTGTCTCGCCGTACATTATTTGTCCAACGTCTTTACTCGTCCATCTTCTTGATCATGCCGGTCTTAATGGCATAGGGAAACAAGCCTCCTGCGTTGATCACCGGTCCGGCGTCTCCCAACGGGTTTAGGGGGTACTCCTTGCCTGCACCCATGTTTCGTCGAGTAATAACAGATACGCATGACGAGATTTGCAGAACGAAACAAGGGATAAGGGATAAGGGGGCACGGGGAAGAGTCTATGTGTAGAAAGTATCGGCGAAGCAGTGGCCACAGATTAGCAGAAACACAAGCAGAACTTGCACTGCTGTACATCACCAACAAGGAAATGCAAGAATGTCGGTGGCCACAGCTGCGACACCAAGCAGCTAATAAAAGGTAGCGTCAACACCACGGATGGCTTGGCAAGATGACACTTTGACATGCGGCGGCTTGGGGGAACGCTCTCCACGGCGCTACATCCCTTACGCATATGACTCCATTTAACAGTAGATGCGACTTGTGCCTGCTGTGGAATTCGCTACCTACACGGGGGCACACGGACAAGAAAGTTGCGTGTGCGCATGTGTCACCACCAGGCATATGTTCGGCTCCGTTGAAGCACCAGTCTGCTGTTCCTACTGGCCCTTGTGATGTCAAAAGCACCATGGTACATGGTACAACATGCCGTACGTTCGGCTGGTTACTCTCTGCTTCGCGGCAACATGTAGATACCGAAACACTCCACGCGGGGGTATTCGTAGTCAGTGATACGGCAGTGCTGCTGTATCGACTACGGGACATGATCTGATCATCGAAGCAAAAACAGCTTGGACGGTGAAGACAGCAAAGCAAAAAAGGTCGTCGACCAAGGATCCATCGGTTGGCAACTCAAGATCATTCCCTCCATCTCCGGGAACTCCATCACATGTAGACCACATTTATACTCTAGACACCGTGCTCACCGGTGGTGTGATTGATGAGAGTGTCTGTTGTAAGGTCCACCGTCACGTCGTCTCCCGTGGTGAAGGCATCGACCAGTCGCTCTTGGCACTCGTACGGGTAAAGCTGCAAAACATGCAATACATGAAATACCGTCACGAGGACATAGGCATAAAAGATACGTGATCTTTCGTGTCCGAACACCGTAGCAGCGGTATAATCCTCCTTCACAAACAAATATCAATAGTATGCCGATGTACACAGATGAAATCAATCACTTTCGTCACGAACGAGACAATCGCAACGGACCTATATACTGTGTTAATAGTAGGCACCTCTTGGCCGGTACAAATGAACATTAACACTGACATTTCCAAGCTTTATGCGTCCACAGCAAGGGCGGTGCGCCTATCCGTCATTTAACCTAGCCTGCTCTGCCAAGAGGTTTTTCAAACACTCCAACACGCCCGATAGGCGGTACACCCGTGTTGCTAAGATAACCGGCATTCGACAATCAGAGACATCGACAACACGTACAACATCATTCAGCCTACGGTACTTAGGACGTAGACAGAGGTACGCACGTTCACAACTAGCATAGTGTCATATAGATACTCATCGAAAGATCGCGGCCCGGTGCTGTAAAAAGTCTCAATCTTGGCAATAACTCGGAGAAAAACATGCGACCAGCTGGTTGCATTGTTCAGTCAATCAAATCATGCGTGCAACATCCATCAAAGGTTTGCCCTTGCCCTCATGGCCGAACAGGCCTAGTTTTTTTTATATGTTTAACACTCCAGGCAGAGCGCTACATGTGACGGGGGGCAGCGCGCTTACCTCCCCTGTGGCGATGGAGTTCCGGAAGAAGATTCTTGCGTAAGACTCTGCCACGACAACCCGAGCTCCCGCCGCCCCCAGAGCGATCGGTGCGTGCTGTCGCCGACAACAACACAGCGAGAGGGGTGTGCCGTTGCCGCGATCGGTAAAATAGATAAGCAAACATCAAGGGAATATCCAGGGCACTCACGAGTGTTGACGAGATTATGCGCTGCTTGGCGCGGTATGAGGGCATCATGCACCAGGCTTGAGCTGTATAAAGTCGTAGGCCGTCTATAACCCGCGGGATAGGGAATCATGTACCAAACTTGAGCTGTAAGAAATAATCAACCACGGGCGCATGCCGCGTGTTCGCGAGAGGGGGCGCGACTGACGTTGTCCGGGGACCAATGGAGTTACCCAAGCTATCGCCGTTCACGTCCATCGGTGCATCTTGACCAGTGGTCCGAGGTTTGCACCGGGCCTTGACAACCGCCCCAAGGTACAAGACAGAAGTGGGCGGGTGAATTGGCTCACTCTGGACACATGGTGTGACTACGGGGGTGGGCCCAGTAGAGTTGTAGTTGAGTGAAAGAAAAATAAGAAGCATCATCATCACCTCTCGTGAAGAGCCGCAGCCAAAGTTGTCCCCGGCGATTATGATGGGATACCGCGTTGCCATGGACCCCTCCTCCACTGCAAATGTCGTGTGAATGAGGGTACAAGTAGAGACAGAGGCGGGGCGGGCCACACACAGCAGTTGGTGCCTTCAGATGATGGCGTCCGTGTGCTACTACAAGTACTTTTGTTCTGCTCAGCAACAAAATAACACCTGTCTACGCGAGTCGTCGCTGCTCTTCTCTGGGTTCGCGAAGCCGCCTTTCGGTGTTTGTCTAGCACCCGAAAGCCGCGAACACTCCGTTCTACAGCGGATCAGCAAACGATCATGCTCAGCGGTGCTGATGACACCAAACGCTCCATATTCGTCGTCATGGAGAACCTGATGCACTGACTCACCATAACGTGTAGTGTAGACATCCGGAAGTCCGATCATAGCGTATGAACCCAGCTTCTCGTACTCATTGGCCTGGACATTCAAAGAGGAGACAGAGGCAGTACACGCCAGCAGGCGGTGGTCTAACTCGGTTTGAAGAGGAGTTGCATTTAGCGAACGAAACCAGTCCGTTAGCAGCTGGCACCAAACGGAAACCATGTTGACAACATACCATACCAAATTATTCTTGCTGTTTTCGTACAACTTACCACGGTGCCTACACCTCTCAGAATAATACCGCCGTACACTAAATACGTTTGGCAACCGACAACGACGCCAAGTCATCGGAAACGTTAACAGGCATGACTGTCCACTCCTGTACTAAAACCTTACATCCCTGTTCTGCAATACGGAGAGCCCTCTGCTGCTGCACTAAGTAGATTTTCTTACACCAAATTGCTTATAAAACACCTCGAGTATGCATGGGCAGTTGAGCCTTTCGTAAAGATACTGCTGCACTGCTGAACCTCAAAAGTGCGTGCTTCACACACATATCTACAGGCCCGCAGGCAGCGAGCGGCGGGAGCAGCAGTGGATACATTTAGTCAGGGTATCATGTGTATCCTATCAAACCCTTGACATTCATGCACCACCTATGCCTACATTAGACGGCACGAGAGTAAGGTACTCCGCCGGGATAATCTGGTCGGTGTCGATGTTGTCCTTCACCACGAAGCACTGCCCCGTGTACTTGTCTGGTCGATCCCTGTTCTTGGGCATCTCCTTTACGCGAGGGTCATCGATGGCCGCCGCATCCGCCTCGGCAGCTCTTCGCGGTGCCACACCAGCGGACGACTTGTTTGTTGCATTTTGTTCACAGAGTGAGGCAAGGCGCGCGTCAACCAGAGGTAGAACGAAGGGTCAAAAGGGATGCTAGCACAGCTGGTGGTGGGAATGGGTGTGTGCTTGGGCTGATGATTACTGGACACGCAGCAGGTCGTGCGGTTGTTGTTGCGCAACAGCAGGGCACCCAACACATGATGTACGACACGATACGTACCTTGCAACCAGGTCGCGATGCGACGGCAGTAGTCCCCGCTGTTGGCACCGGCACAAAGAATGCCGAAACGCTTGATGACACTGCCGCCACCATGGTTGCCGTCGTCGCGAAGCCCCACATCATGATTACGTCGCCTTGCCGATGTGACTGCTGCTGCTGTGCGTGTAGCTGGCGGTCGGCCTACCGCTGGTTCTCGTGGCTGTCGCGGAGTCCCTTCCTGACAAGCCCCCCCCCGCCAGCGTTGTGGATGTGCTCACGGGGCCGCTCAAAGCATGATGCAGTGCACTCACCTGCCATGGCTCCAACGCAGGGAGAAGCCATGCCAAGGCCGAGAAAACCATGGATCTCTTCGCCTGCAGTGTGCCTCTGTGCGTTCACGGCTCTGCTCACTCTAATATGGCCTGCAGGGGACGCTTTTGTGTTCTCCACAAGAGCACCATCATCAACTAGACCAGTGTCACAAACTGCAACGTCAACCGGCACCGCACGTTGCTCCTCCATCCATGGCAGCACCGCCGTCTGGTCTACTGGAAGTGAGGTTGTCGGCAGCAGCAGGGAGGACTCAATCGAGCTCCACGATGACGGCCAAGTCGACGATGAAGACGAAGATGATTTCGACGACGAGGATGTTCACCCGTCGGTCTCCTGGCTCTACCCTCCCAAGCCTTCCTCGACTACTGCTGCGAAGACAACGTACACCCGTAGCAAAGAGAAGACTCGGCCTTCTCGGAGGACGCTGTGTGTGGACTACGGAACCCGACGTGTGGGGCTGGCCATCGGTGTAGGGATATCCCCGCGTGCGGTGCCGGGCGTCACTAACGTCGGGAGCGACTTGGAAGTCGCTCGCCAGGTGCTCGTTCGAGCCCGTGGAGAAGGCATCCGAGACATCGTCGTGGGGTTGCCGCTCGAAAGGTACAGCAGCAGTACCCGTTCACGGCATCCCCGCCATAAGTTCGCCCATGCGTTGTAGCAAGGTTTTGACGGATGCTGTTGAAGGGATTTGAGCTAATGTGGTGTTTGAGTGAGGACTAGCACGCCGTCACTTGTTGACGTGCTGCGGGAGATGGAAGTTCTTTGGTGGACTTTGCCCGCGAACACATTCTGACAACCTTCCCGATTTCGGCACACCGTTCATGGAGCACTTGCTCTTGGGGTAGACTACGGCAGTTGTTGCCATACACTTCACCAACCTTGCGTGCACGTACAACGTACAATTCAGTAGCAGCGATTCCGCGAGCAGAGTGTCCAACGAAACCCTTCGCGCGACCAGAAAGCGGTTTACGGAAGTAAGCAAACCCAACTTGGCTCGTTCGATTAGATTCGGAACTTGGGTGGCCGCCCATCACCCACACCGCTTTCTCCTTGACCCACAAGTGCCCGCTAAAATCCTGGGAATGAAGTATGTTACGCTGATGCATGCGACACAGCAGGGCGACCAACGCATGTTCTCCCTACCTGTCGACGAATGTTGTTGCTTGTTTTGGTGCAATGACCACCAACAACCAACGCCCACGGCGGTGTTCTATTATTCTGCTGTCACCTACAGGAATGGGACGGAGACCGAGATGTGTGAAATCGTGCGCGGCTTTGCCTCCGTCCTCGCCGACGTTGGCGCTGCATCGCGGCCTACCGCCGGTGTCTTCCTGTGGGACGAGCGCTTCTCCTCCGCCCAGGCCGCGGCCATGCTGGACCCCTGCGGGGGAGGGATGAGCAGCAAGGTGGAGATTGACTCCCTTGCGGCAAGCCTGATCTTGAAACACTTCTTCGAGGAGGGGGGCACCAACAGTGCCGAGAAGGTCAAGCCCTCAACAGCCGCAGTGACGGCGGAGGTTTGGCGGGCGGCGGGTAGAAGCGGGGAAGAGGGAAAGGAGGGCGAGAGCGAGGGAGAGAAGGAGGAAGACGCGTACGGCGAAGGGTCTCGGCGGAGGTTTCAAGAGATGAGGGAGGAATCTGCGAGAAGCGCGGCCGTAGGGGAAGACTCGGCTCGAAGAAGGGCATGGCGTCAACGGCGAAGAAGATGACCGCTCGCTTGTCGTGCCAGCGAACCCAAAAGAGTAGTCTATGCACATGGATTATTATGCGTGCCGATGAAGATTGAGAGCCCTTTGGCGCCCTCCGAATCTGGGCTTGTTTGGACACACATGTATACACAACGCTGTTTTCTGCCCTTCATCCGGGTTGTAGTATGAGTTGGGTGGCACTCGTTTCACAAGGAACCGGCAACGGAAAATGTCGATATAGACTACCGCTTCAAGGAGAGTTATGTGAACACCCCAAACAGAAAAAAAAAGCATTGACGGACGAATACCCGTCTCCATTGTATTCCGCGGCCGATTGGTTCACCTCATTACGAACACACAAGGATCTGGATGTGCAGCAGTCCCGGTGTGCTTGGCTCTACAAGGGGTCCTCGCGTCAAGCAAGGGTCTCATGCAATCCATACTTTATGGCCCTCCTCTCCCCTTTCACCATCCCTGAATTCCGCACAGACAAGTACCCCGTCCATCACACAACACTCAAAAAGGTGTACAATACGGGTTTTTCAACAAGAGAAAGAAATAACCAACCAAAACATGCTGGGAACTCACTGCGAAACTTGGAACACAATTCTACGAAGCACGGGTAGGAGTCGCGGTCGGCGAGGGTTAGTCTACTGCCGCGTTGCCGACTGACTCACTGCGAGATGGTCAGGCGAAGACAAAACATGTCCATCGCACACACACCTTGGCTTGTCACATGACGACCTGTGATTGTGATGACGGTCAGAAAACGTTTAGTTTTTCTCTAGTCGCGCAACTGTGCCCGCAAGAATCTTCACGGCATTCCCCATCGCCGCGAGGCTGCAGTACTCGTTCTCCGCGTGGTCTGCGGGTGGGCAGTGCACAAGGGACAACACAACAGGGACAGAGGGAACGGGGGCGTCACAGATACAGAACACACTCATCACGTTCGTAGGTTAGAACTGACAGCAGAACCGCGGAGACAAGAACATTGTACCGTATTGTCAGCGACAGAAAAAATTGAGCGAACAAAGCGCCTGTGTCCATGGCCCTTTGCACCTCCGTGTCGTGCGGCAGCACGGCTAGGCGAGAGTGTTGTTATCGACATTAGAATAACCAGAACTTGCCCTTGACGAAAACGCACGATATGTCGCGATTGAGCCATGAAACACTCCTCCACACCACAATAGCGGTCACCCGTTCGTTGAAGTATCACAGGGAAATTGAAACAAAATACTGGTTCAATGTACAGAGTGCATGCTGCGAGGCTACCAGAGATGAGCATACTTCATGCTGTGATAGATGAGAGCGGTCGGCCCGCGTGTGGGCAAATCTATCCAGAAAAAAAAGTGCGGGCAATTATGGAGGTGCAAATGTTGGGGGAACCACTCACAGCGGGAGCTTAAGCCGTATCCGCAGATCTGCACATCGTAGCCTTGGTCTTGGAGCCATCGTACCAGCGGCAATGATCCAGAGATGGAGTAGGGCGCCGACTGACCGATAACCTGCAGAAAGGAAAGGACACGACGATGTAACGCGGCATCGTGTTTCGCCGGCAAGAGAAAGGCGACACACGATGCCAAAAACGAGCAAGCAAGGAGAAACGACGTGATGCATACCGTACCATAACATCTCTGCAAATCGAGCGGAAAGAACGAAGGGTTAAGCATCCATACCGCGCAGTCATCGCTCGTGAAGGTACAACCGATACCAAGCATCTAGCCACCAAGTGAGCCAACCAAAACCTAGGACGCATCAAGATCTAAATGGCATTCCGGCAACAACTGCTGTCCACACCTCACCGTCTCTGCTGCACTATCAGCCAGGTGGCGAGACACCGCAGCTCAAGACAGCACTCACTCACCGTAGCCGTAGCCGCGTTGAGCGCATCGGCACCCTCGCTCTCGAGGTTGCAGGCGATGCCATCCTCGCCCTTCGTGACCCACGTCAGCTCGATCGTTCCCTGGCGCCCCTCCGCTGGCAGCACATACTTAGAGAAGGCTCCGCGGCTCGGCAGGATGGATGGGTCGGCGTTGATCTCAGCCACATACTTCTCGATGCTCTCCTGGACCTTGTCTACGCCGTAGAAAGGGGTCACCCTGCAGTCCCCGGAGACTGTTGCGTGCGGGGGGATCTGGTTGATGCTGCCGCTCGCGCACTGAGGTTTGTTTGTTGCGCGTTTGGAGCACAGTCGTGCCCGTGCCCATCGTGGGGGGGGAGAGAGAGGGGGGGCTGTCTCTTATACACATCTAGA